CCCCCCCCAGCCTGTGTCCTGCTGCCAGAGGCTGGATCTCTTTCATTCTGCGATAATAAAAAGCAGATTTTCCTTCTTAAAATACCCGAAGGGAGTTGCTAACTCAGATCCTCTCCACTGTGTGCCATCCTGGTTCGTGTGGTCAAATCCCATCGCTTCCAGCTTTACAGCAGGGCTAATCCATGCCGTTGGAGACACCCAGATTAACCCACCATGGGATTAGAATGCTTGAGCTGTTGCTGGAAGATTAGTACATTTGATTCTCAATGTTTGCAGAACTTAGCCTGAAAATGATTTCCAATTAGAACTCATGGGTTGGTGTGGGCGTTTGGAAAAGTCTGGATTGAAAGCAAGTGGCTGCAAAGATTAAACTGGAGTGGGAGCGCACAGAATGCATTGGAGATTCAGACCTATCGCTGTTGATGGGAACAAAAGGCGCTTCTTTTGTGTTGTGAGCTTCTCGTAGGTGGTTTTATTCGGAGTCTCTTGGCTACAAGGGGATGGAACTGCCCTCCTGGCACCGGTTTTATTCAATCGCTGGGCTGATCACCTGATAAGAGAGAAACACCTCTGTCCTAGATAACGTTAGCCTTTGTGGTGAGGGAGAGTGCCTGCTAAGTGGCTTGTCAGGTGCTTTGCTTTCTGGAGCTCCCTGCTAAAGACACTGTGTGCCATTAAGTGGGTGAGCTGCCTAAAAATGAACTTGTTTCAGTTCCTGCACAATGCCAAATGAGGTTATTTTGAGGACAGGGTCTCTGCTGTGGTATTTGTAGTTAGGAAGTGATTGGCTCCCTCCTTGTGTGCTCTGCACTGGGACTCAGGCTGTCTGTGCTCATCACGTTTTATTTCAATTGCTAGCAGAGCATTCATGTTTGAAAGAGAACTTCCTCTTGTCAGCAGGGCATTAATTCCAGTGCCAAATCTGCTCGTGCCTGCTCTGCACTCTGTAAGTGCTTACATGGCTTTCTATTGCACAGGGCAGCAACAGCTGAGTGTGGTCCCATAGCAGCCATTCTATGTGAACTGGAATTTCACCTATCACCAATATTTCCTCATTAAATCACAGTGCCATATTCCTGTGTTCCTTGATCACCTCTAGGGATGGGGACTCCACCACCTCCCTGGGCAGCCTGTGTCACTGCATCACTGTTCTTTCTGAGAAGAAATATTTCCTAACACCCAACCCGAACCTCCCATGACACAACTGGAGGCCATCATCTCAAGTCCTTCTGTCTGTAAATATTTGTACAAACAGCTCTTTCTTAGCTGGTGTGTGTGTGTAATGGCATTTATCACACTCGCCTGAAAGTAACACTCTTCCTCCAGAGGCTGGCAAAGATTATCAGTTGAAACCCAGGTGGAAAGTGGAGCTCTAAGATATCTCCCTGTGAAGTTACACCAGAAAGGTAGGGCACTTCTATATGGGAAGTCTGGTAGTATGGTACCTTAGAGCTGCAGCTGTACTGAGAATTCCCTCTTGTGGGAATGCTGTGCAGCCTGGTGAAGCAAGAGTTGTTCAGTTTTAACTCATGCATTTATAAACATTGAGCACATTCCTCTGCACTTTAAAAAACATACTTTGGGGGATATCTGTAGAGCTGCGTGACAGAATCACTCTGAATATTTTATCCAAGACCTGTGTTGCAATTTCTTTTAGAGAAATAACTCTTTACAACCCAGAATATGAGTCTGTAGTTTGTGCTTAGCTTACTGTGGCAAGAGGACAAGGCTACTGGTATGATGACACCACGATCTGTCACCAAAACTCGTTGTGTAATAACCAGTAAGAACATGGGGCAGCAAATTCCACACATGGAAGTTGCCCTGGATTCATATTAATATGCATCTAACTGATCAGCTGTGCCTTGGCAACACATGTAAGATAAAGCTGACTGTGCTGTAAAGAACTTCAATCGTTCACTGGATGGAAATGGAATGCCTGACATCACGCTGGGGTGATTTGGACTGTCTGATAAGTGAAAGTGTGTGTGTGTATGGAATATATGCTTTTCTGAGCAGTGTATATTCTCTGATTTGAATCATACTGAAGCTGCTGGTTTCATCATCAAAATACCTTCAGAGGGTGGACCTCAGGCTTGCACTGATAACATAGGGCAGGAGTGCTGGCTGGATTCTTGGTTCTTTCCCACAGCCAACTCCATGCACATCCATGTTCTTGTGTTTATTTTTTCCCCACTACCCCCCAAAAAAACCCAAAACCCAAGGAATCCCAAGCAGGATTCACTCTCAAACCCATGATGTTGCCTCTAAACAGATGACAACACCTCAGTGCTTGGTGCTACTTTACCCACTGCCCTTGTGGTTGGGGATCTACTGCTGTGCTGCCAGCTTGATAGGTGCTGTAGTTGCATATGAGAAATGGTGTTTCAGTGGTGAAGCACGTTTTCAATTGACAACAGGGAGATAGAGGATTTGAGGTGACTGCAGCCCTGTAGGAGGTGGAGATGCAGGTGGAGGTGATTCCTGCTCCCTCCCTCCCAGGAGTGTGATTTGGTTTTTTTTGAGCCCTGGTGTGCTTATTCCTTCCTTGTGGCAGCACAAAGCAGGACACAGCGGGCATTCTTTAGCTTCTGTCTATCATCCAGTTTGCAACATGCGTCGCTTGGGCTGTTATAAAAGTCCCTTGTTAAGTAATTGTATCTCTCTTGCATAAGTGTTTGCTTTCAGGAAGCTGTAGCCAATCGGAGGCTGCAACTCAGAAAGCATTCCTAACCACCGTGATTTCCGAAAATAATGCTCCGGTGCTGATCTGCTGGAAGTTCTGTAAAACCTCTGTAGGTTGGCTCAAGCAGAGGAGACCTCAGTGCCCGTGGTGGCTGAACTACAGCAGTAAGGTGCTGCCACAGCGCTGCGCTGAGCGGATCGTTGTGAGTAACATTTCTGATCCTTCTAAAGGGCGTCTGTGGCTGGTCACTGCAGGCAGGGAAATACGGCAGGCTTTCATCGCCAGCCGTGCGTTAGAGGGAGGCAGGAGGTGAGAGATGGGTGGTGAAGCTATTGACAGGGGGTAAAATAATGCTTTCCTCTTGGGCTTCCCTAAGCAAGCACACGTTTCTCTGAAGCTGTGCAGTCAGGTCTCTTCCAAATATGCTAATAAAAAATAAATGTGGTGCCAAATTCAATTACAGAACCATCAGGAGAACGTAGACTTGGCTGGGCAGTGAGATGGAAGGAGTGGTCAGCCCTGAATACTGACTCAGTGTCTGACAACCAGTATTCAAGAGGAAAAAAAATAGAAGAGCAGGGCAAGCACGCAGTGATATTTCCTCTGCTGTATTTCCCAAGCTTTCAGAAATCTGTAGGTTAGGTTTTCCTGTGTCAGGAAATACATATTTGATACTACAAATGGATTTTCCTTCTCAGAATTTGCTAGCTCAGCATACCTCTGTTAAAGACAATAAGTTGTTCGGAGGTTTGTCTACCATAAATCTCATTGGGATTTGATATCCTGAGTTGAGTTCACACATGCAAGTTTTTCATGAAAACGAATGGACCTTTTCTGTTTAGATGGAACTGGGTAGGAAAGATGCTCATGGATTTAGCAGAAAACTCAGTCTCCTACAAAATTTCCTCTCCTGCTTGTTTTTGCTGTATCTGGATGCAGCTGACTTGCAAAAAAAAGCCCAGAACTGTAAAACTATGCACTGAAGTGGGAAATGGAATTTATGAGTTAGATGCTGAGTAGCTCCGTTGTTATTTCTGCCAACCCCAGGAGGCACTGAAGTGTCTCTGTATAGGAAAGGCAGCTCAAGTGCTGGGCTGTGAGGGGAAATAAAGCTATTGCTCATGCTGTGGATGGGTGTACACATAGTTTTACGTAACTTTTCCTTGATAGAACAATGTCTTTACTAATGGAGATCACTTGGGAGAGCTCAAGTCATTACTTACAAAGCTGAAAAGATGTTGTATGTAGAACTAACAATCCACAGAGTTCTGAAGACCTGCTGAAGCATTGGAATTATTTTGATAACCAGTGGATGAGCAGGTAATTCATGAAGAATCATAGAATCACAAATGTTGGGAAAGACCACTAAGATCACCCTGTCCAACCACTGACCCATCCCCACCATGCCCACTGACCGTGTCCCTCAGTGCCACATCTTCATGGTTCCTGAATTCTGCTGTGAGAAGAAGCGAAAATACCAACACAAGTCAGCAGCTAAAACTGGGAAACTTACAACCTCATTTCTTCTACTAAAACAATTTCTGAATTGGAGAACAAAATGAAGCATATGTTAGTATACCCAAACAAAATCTCTTATCCTTTTTCAGGGTAAAATGGACTCCATGCCCAAGCTCAAGATTTTTGTGATGTTGCTGTCTCTGGCTACCTTCACAGCCATGGTGATAATGAATGCTGGAAATGCCACTGGTCTTTTCAAAGGTAATGCAAGCGAATGCTTTTTGTTCAGGGAGATGAGTCTTGTGCACTGCATCACTTTCTGATGCCTTAGATCAGTTTTGCTTCTTCAAACCATCAGAGCCTCTTCCAGTCCCTTGAAATCAAAGCAAATGGTCTGGATGTATCTGCTGGTGAAAGTCTGTTTTTACATATGTTGCCCTTGTATTCCCGGTGGAAGCTTTCCAGGTCCTGTTGCTGTGGGTTTTTTAGAGGATGGTGCTCGGCTTGCATGCTGCCCGGCTCAAAATGCTCCCCATGCTGTCAGAAATGAGAGTCGTGCTTCTCTTTGGCTTTTGCACACAACTGGCTTTTCTGGTTCTGTGCAAGAGAAAGGTGCTCGGGGTTCCCCATATGGGACAGTAATCCTGTAATGGGTTTTTAAAAGGAAGCCAATTGCAGCGTGCGGTTTGTTTTCAACAAGGGCATCCTCTCAGGACCTATTGAGGTGTGGACTAAACCTTGAGGAAGATTGCAGGTTGAGAAAATCAGCAGTCTTTCCCCATCCTTAGTATGTAATAATACATTAGGCTGCAATAACATTCACTACCAGGTCTGTTCCGGACAACCCCTGGCAACATCTCAGAGAAGTACAGCACCGACTTCACACCAGCTGGCTGGACTTTCCTCATCTGGAATGTCATCTATGCCTGGCAACTGGCGTGGCTCCTGTATGCGCTGTCAGGGATCTGCCGCAGGTACTCCCTGCCCACAGCACAAATGCTGGGGGTGGCCCTTCCCTTCTGTAGAGCGGTCTGTTGCTCACTTCTTGGGCTTTCTGGTCAGTGCAAAACCGCTGCCATTCCTCTTGGCTTGACAGGCTGAGTCTCTGGAGCTTCTTTTCAGTCAGGCATCCCAAGCATAGCAGCAAGTCGGAGGTCTATATGAACTACTTTGTAATCCGTGCACACAGAGCAAGTCAACAGTTCTGTGAGAGCTGGTTGTTTCCACTGGTTTATGTGATCTGACACTTACCCAGCAGCTGCTTTTCAGAGGCTGTTTGCAGAGGCTGTCATTTCATTTGTAGTTCTTTTCATTTTTTTTTCAAGATAAAAGCATATCTTCTCAAATATTGGCTGGGAATATTCTTTTTCACATCCTTGTTGTGGAAAAGGAGGTGATAGAAGCTGGCAGAAACAGTATTTAGATTTTTTAAATATTATTATTTATTAAGAGGAAGGGAATGCAACAGTTATGAGGAATGGTGAGAAATGAGGCTTAGAAGTGGATGCATGAGCAAGGATGAGAGATGAGGGAAAGAGGGTAAACTGATTCATATGGCAGTGAATAGATATAGATGGATATAGATATAGATGCAAGAAAACTAATCAGAGGGCCCACTGTCTAAAATTTTCCAGCATGAGAATTTTCCTCACAGCGTGAGGAATCTTTCAACCTGGAGTCCTGGAGGTAAGGTGACAAGATGAGGAGGAGCTGTAAAATCGTAGAATGGCTTGGGTTGGAAAGGACCCCAAGGATCATCAAGTTCCAAAATATCTAGATAAAGATACTGAGCTTCGGGATGGAATGGTGGGAGTAGGTAGAATCAACTCACTGGCTTTGCTTTTCCCTTGTTTAAAGGAAAACTGCCTTTCCCCTCTCTAAAGTCTTGCAATGAACACTTGTTGCAGTGATTACCTGTGATGGTAGAACTAAATGTTCCAGTTCTGTTAATGGTTCATGTAGGAGGTGAAATCTATCCATGTGATGGCATTTTATATATGTATTTCAGTTTCTTTAAAAAAAAAAATTCAGATAACTAGATTGCAAAATTTCTATTAATACTCCTTCCAAATAGCAAAGTCAAGCACTGGATTGCCACAAATGGAAGCTGTCTGTTTAGGCTGCCCACTGCCTTGGAAGGAATGTTGCTTCCTTCCAAAAGTGTCTGTTGCTTCCTTCACAAAAGTGTCTGTTTCTTGCTCTCCAGATACACAGCACTGAATGCTGTCAGGTTCCAGGTGACACTGTTGAGTTTAGGTATATAAAGTCCTACAAAATACACTGTAAGGAAAGTTGGGCCAGAAGAATTACAAAGCAGGCTTCTGAAGGAGAAATTCTTGATGGCCTCAATTCTACCACTGTAAAACATGCTCTGTTTGCAATCCAGGTGTGTTTACTTTCTCCTTATCCCACCTGTCCCTGCTCCTGACTGTGCTGGGAAGCCTTGTGGGCTGTGCAGTGTGTGCAGGCAGCAGTGGGCACAGATCTGTCTCTGGTGTGCTGCCAGCACTGCAAGGGGCTTCCTGAGTGCCTGTGGTCCTTCGTTGGGGAGATGTGGGAAAGAAAAGTGCTTGTGGAGGATTCTGATGGGGTGCCTTCTTTTTCCTTACAGAAATGAACTTGGATGTGTCTTCATGAAACCAGATTTGCTGCCAGTACCTTTTTACATGGCATGGATTCTGAATAACGGCCTCAATGTTGGATGGCTGTTTCTGTGGGACAGAGAGTAAGCCGCTCTTGTTACAGCAGCTTTCTAACCGTAATGTTGGGACTACTGAAACAACTGGGCAAGCCTTGGCAAAATCTACCCTTAATAACTATTTTGTTATTTGCAATTTTCATCTTGCCCGTGAGATAGATGGGCTGTTGAAGTTTTATCTCTTAACAACTGCTGCTCTTCAGTGTTTCATCCAGCAGATAGGACAAGAGCCATGACAGCCTTTGTAAATACAGTTAAGCTCATTGCCTTGGATTGTTTTCATCATCGTGCTGGCATGAAGGGCTTATAATAGTACCATTGTCAACAGATGAAGAAATCAGCCTCAGTGAGGAAATAATAACTTAATGATTAGGAGTAAAACAGTATGTCAAAATGAGGCCTACACATAGTGATTACCTTTATTAAAGGCTTGATTAGCTTAAAGTCAGTAAAGGCCAAACTCTAAAGCTATGAATTAAGGCATTGTGACACCACTGAAAAAATGCATTGTATGTTGTGTGTTGTTTTCTTTTTTGTCCTAGATACCTCCTCCCAGCCCTGCTGTTGTTGGCAGCCCTCACTTTTACCACAGGGGCTGCTCTCTTCATTTCACACAGAGCCTTGAGTATCCATTCCACGTGGTTCATGAAGGGCCACCAAGCTGATCTCTGGCTCATCCGAATCCTAGTAGGTGGCAATTAAGCAGCTGAAAAAGCATGTTCAAGGAGCTGAGAGGGTTGTCAGTGGAGCTGCAAAGCTGGGCGTGCATGTGTAAATGTTTCTGCTGGGAATGTCTCTAAGTCCCTTGGCACAAAGTGGGGGTGGGCACTGTCCTGTCCACCCTTATTGATGAGATGCAAGCAGAACAAAAGAAATTGGAAGCATCTGGGTTCCTTATCCTCACCCTTGTCCTCTTGCTGTACTCGTGGCAGGTGCAGAACGGGCTGGCACTGTATGCCACATGGACCACCATCGCCACTCTGCTGAACTTTGCCATTGTGTTGATCTACAAGTGGGATGTGTCCAATGAGACAGCAACCACTGCATCTCTGAGCATCCTTACCCTCGTGCTTGTCATGTGGTGAGCAACCTCCTGAGTTCCCTCTGGGCCTGGAAGAGCTCTTCTACCTCTAGTGTATCACAATCGGTCCCTCTCAAAGAATGAAAACTGTCACTCAAAGCCAGTTTTGATTTTGTAATCTTGCTGTAGTATAACCATGGGGTATTACACTGGGCAAAAAAACATCCATTTCCCATGGCCAAGCCCCTTCTTGGGAGGAGCAAGGGGGTTTTTTACATGTTGATTCTCCTTCATACCTTTCCACTTGCAGAAAACTTGCATTTAATACAGGGTTTTTTTGCCTACGTTTACCCTTGATAATTTTTTAATTAATCTTATAAATTTTAGTATATGAATATTTTGAGCTCTGGTCTGTGCCTCCAACAAAGGACTCTTCATCTGACTCTTATCTTAAGCTTTTTATGGGGGGCAGGGGGGGAAATCTAAAGAAGCAAAGATACTACTTGGTCATTGTTTTTCTCCACAGGTTTTGTCAGGAAAACTTCTTTCTTGATAAGTACGTCCGTTATAACCTCACTGTCTACCCAGTGGTCATAATAGCTCTGACTGGCAGCATGTGCAAGGACTTCTCCGTTTCCTCCCCAACCACCAACGGTGTTTTTATAGGTGAATCTCTCATAATCTTTGGAGCAGTGTGCTTCTCTTTGCAATTGAAGTTATTGCCTGTGAGCCTTGGGGTTGAAATCAAACCTAGTGTTGCCTCCTGTTCGCTTCCCAGTGCAATAAATTTGCCCTGCAATCACACATTTGTGCTGTCCCAGAGAAACTTGCCAGCCCTGTGAGCTTTTGGTGCTGTGCTGGTAGCTCCCTGCCCTTTGACACGGAGCAGGCACACAGAACACAGGGCTGGGATGAAGCCTGTGGGCTTTGCTTTGTATTGCTTGTGATTATGGAGCAGTGCTTTAATGTCTGACCCAAGCAGGAGCTGTGTCTGAGTTCCACCATGCAAAGACCTGCACACACTCCTCTCCTGTGCAGTCTAGGCTAGCACTGACAAGTTTGGCCGGGATTATTTGGTTGCTGCAGGCCACTGTAGCTGTGCTGGATGTAGTCATACACTGTAAAAGGGCTTAAGCTGTATACATGCTGTACAGACCACAGCATGGCAAAAGCTGTGTCATTATGAGTAGTTACGCTGGCATGAAAGAGGTGGAGATGTGCAAACCCTGTCTTGCTGAAGCAGTTTGAGATTCCCATTCCTACTACAAGATCAACAGAAGAGAGCACACTGTCACCCTTCAGCCCTCCCAATTCTGTGTGCCAGTGGCTGAAGGCAGTTCCTAAGCTCGCACTGCCAGCATCACAGCCACCTTGATGTGTGTTCCCTTCTGCTGTATGGGCAGGGTGTGCAGCTGGGAGTCAGGATTTGCCTAGAAGCACCCAGCAGGAACTGAGCAGAGCTTGTCTGCCAAAGCCACGAGTAGCCACGAGTCCATTGACTCCTGCCTTGGTGGTTATGGCCATCTGCAATGTGGAGGTGCATAAGCTCTGACAGACAGCTCTATTCCTGCAGTAGGTGCTTCTCTTGCCTTTATACCAGCAAACTTTCATTTATAGTGGTTTGGCTTGTTTGACTGGTAGGGCAAGGATGTGCTTTTCCCAAACTGGTGCCTGTTTCTTTATATAGTTCAACTATTCTTGGACTTACTTGTTAATGCCGTGTGTCTTTATGCCCGTGTCTATAATATCTCCCCTTTTTAGACATGCCTTGACCTGGAAGCATTGGGTATGTTACTGCTTATCAATCAGAGCAGATTTGCCTTACCCCATGGCAGCCACCTAACATCAATAGGGGTAATGGCTCCCAGACAGAGGCCTGTGGGTTTGCCTTGGTCTTTTCCCTGCTGTCTGAGGAGCTAGAGAATGACAAAAAGCACTGTTGTTCTTTCGCATGCTAACCTAATTCTTTGTTTCTCTTCTAGTTGTACTGCTGGCACTGACTTGTTTTATCTTTGCTGTTCGGCTGGCGTTAGTCATAAGGAAGCACAGTAATGAACTGCTGGAACCACCACCTCAGCCATCAAGTACAGTGGCCTGAGACCTGTGGCACAGTGATGTTATGACAAGTGCTTTAGAGAGAGGAGTAAGAGCTGAGCATCCTGCAACCACTGGTCCTTCCCTCCAGTAACAATTGCCCTTTTTTTGCCTTTTTCTCTTTTTTAATATATTCTGGATTAGCACAGCTTGTGCCTGCAGACTTGTCCTCCTCCCCTATTCTCTGAGCTCAGCTGTTTGCAGCTCCACCTCAAACATGCACCCTCCTCTGCTCATTTTGCCGTGGATCAGTGGAGGAAGAGGCCCTGTAGATGAGTAGCTCTGTATACCTTTGTGATGACAGAGCTGCTCCTCCCAGTGTGAGGAGGGCTGTCAGCAGATGTTTGGCACAGAGAGTTGCCCTCACCCTTTCCTGGGAGCTATGGTGGGTAGGGGAAGAGGGATGGCTGAATACTTCCGACACAGCTGCAAGTCTCCAGCTTATTTCAGGTTGCTCTAACTCTAGAAACTGACAATGTGCTCACATCTCAGCACACACTATTATCTCTGTCCCTCTGCCTTGTTTTTCCTTCTGACTTTCTTACTGAAGTTTGTCACTGTGTCGATGCCTCCATCAGTGACCCCACAGTAACAGCAGATCTGTGCCCCTGCCACCCACTCGCTCCTCTTTTCAGACAGGGGAGACCCAGGTGATGTGGGAGCAGTGGATTGCTTTTCCTGAGCTGTGCCCGTTTGGTGGCTGCCTCCTGCAGGAGTGTGCTTTGCAACCCTTCTGCTGGGATATCAGCCATACAGACGCCACAGAACCTGATGGGGAGTGAAGCCTGCTTCACAGACCACTTCTTGTTTTCTGAGCTGGATAGAGTGAGATAGAGTGTAATGTGGCTTCAACACCATGGGCTCGCTTTGGGAAGCCTGAATGAGAACTGACTGGATTGCAAGACCTCTGCCTCTATTTGCTGTGCCTGCTAGATTTGATGATGCCTTGCTGGTGTCTGGAAAATCTTCCTGGATGCCTGATGCTTGGAAATGCTGAATATCTTGCAGTAATCTCACAGAGGTGAATTCTACTACAATACAATGCTATTGTTTACATTTAATGAAGAACTAAGTCTGTACTATGTGGTTCTTGTCATTCTATCATATATTATTTTTTAATAAAGCAGCTACTGCCCCCACTTCTCATGCAACCACAAAATCATTGAGGGTAGAAAAGACCTCTAAGATCATTTAAGATCACCAATCCTTCCCACCATGCCTGTTGTCCATGTCCCTCAGTGCCACATCTACACTCTGCATGAAGCTGTAAGTAAATGACTTGGAACCCATGCTTACAGCAGAGGGCCTTACTTCTGCCTTGCTGCTTCTAATATGCCTGCTCTGCACCTGTGGCTCAAGGGCTTGGTCCAGATCTGCTTCCTACACTTCCAGGTGCCTGTAACAGCCTCGGGAAGCCCTTCAGCTTGTCACAGAGCAACAGCTTGGAGGCACACGTGCCCCATTCCTGCATCTGCTTTGCTGTCTGTGGTGCAAACAAGCTGAAAGGAGCTCCTCACTCTAAGTGCTGTAGCTCCATGTTCATCTTATGCAGACCTCCCTGTAAGGAATCCTCTGAGAACTGCCCTGAAATGCTGGTGCTGAGTGAATCCTTGGGCTGGCCCCACACAAACAAGCTGCTGGCTCCAAGCTGCCTTCTACCACCATTCCCTGGAGCTGTGGCAGGCAGACATTCCCACAGCACAGTGCTCCCTGCCAGCATTGGGAAAAGCAGCTTTCCTTGCATCCGTGGCAAGAACAGGAGCCTAAAAATATAATCACCCTGCCTGCCCCTTTCCTTTCAGCTGCAGGCAGGGCAGGGCTGAAAGCTAGTGGTGTAAGCCTTCCTACTTGCTATGTGCTATTTTTAAAGGTTGTTTCTTTCTGAAACGCCTTGTTTCCGCTTGTTTTCTAGAATCAGAAATACCAGTGATGTGCTTTTTCCCCCACAACAGATCACTCTTCCAACAAAGCTGCATTTCACAAAGCTGCAAGCCTGCCAACTTTTTGGCGCAAATAATCTGCCCGGCCTTTGTTTCTATGAGCAATTATGGGATTGGGGTGAATTTTACTGGATTTAAAATTTCTTGGAAAGCTGATGGCATTAAGAACCCAAAGCCTGAAAAATTGCATTTGTTTCTAAAACTGTTAATTCCAAGCCTTGGCAAGAGCCTGTGTGTCTCTTTTAGCAGGATGCAAGCTGGAATAAAATAAAATCAAGTTGAGACTGCCAAGGAGAAGGAATAGAGTCATAGAATTGACTCATAGAGTCACTGGGAAAGACACTAAGCTCACCAATTCGGACCCCAACCCATCCCCACTGTGCCCACTGACCGTGCCCTTCAGTGCCACATCTTCACAGTTCAGGGACACCTCCAGGGATGGTGACCTCCCTGCTCCCCAGGCAGCTGTGCCACTGCCTCACCACTCCTTCCAAAGGGAACAGGAGCAGCCTCTCTGGGGAGCATGGTGAAGATCTCTGGATAAAAGCACCAAAGACATAAGGCAATGATGAAAGGGATATGCACCCTTTGCTATGCATGCAGTCTAAACACGCTTGGGCCATCCCGAGCCCTTTGAAAACTGTTAGATGTTTTACAGCTAAATATTTATTTTATCCGTGCAGAGCCGGGACAGCCCTGTGTCGGGAGATTAGCACAGCTCCTTCTGCCAAAGGCATCTCAGCACAGAGTCACGGGCTTGGGTGCAACTCACACATGGGATGAACGTGTGGGAAAATGATGCTGAAGGAGCCCAGGGTGCTGATCCTGCCCCAGCAGAGCCCTGGCAGCAGCAGGCAGCAGCGCCATGAGTGTGCCATGGGCTACCCTTCACTCTTCATCTCCAAGCCCTGAATATCCACACAGGAAAGCTGTGTTTTTTCTTGCCTCTTCAGGAAGAAATGAGTTTGAGGATGCTTGCCTGGTACACATTGAGAAAAGACTTCTTTTGTTCAGGGTGGGTCCAATTTGGAGTGCAGGAAGTGATGGTGGCGTGATCTAGTGACTTGATTTCTCTTGATGTTGTTCTAACAGCTTAAAAAAACCAGACAGGGTTGGAAATAATTCAACTTAGGAGACCCAAGACATGAATTAGAGAGAATAAATAGCTCATGTTTGTGCCTGTGCCCAAGAACTGCCTTGCAGAAGGGACCCACCATGTAGCTGGTTGGGCTGTGGGCCTTAGGGTGGTACTCAGAGATCCCAAATCTGGTGTGGGCTTTGCAAGGTCTCCAAAGAAGGGTGGCCCTGTGCAGCCCATGCCCAAGCTGATCAGGCACTGTGCATGGACTTACCAGCACCCGTGTGTGGTGAATTCACTGAGTGCTCATGCAAAAGCAAAGAGGGAGCATGGATGCATGTGAGTTTGGTGTTAAGGTGTGGATTCCTCTTGTGCCCATGCAGGAATTCATTGGTTGCTCGTACTTGAGCTCTGTGGGTGCTCATGCATGAAGTAATTGGACTCATACATCAATTAATTGGGTGCTCACGCATCAGCTAATTGGGTTCCCATGAATGAATGAATTGATTGTTCTTTCATGAATTAATTTGGTGCTTATGCACGAGCTGTTTGAGCTCTTGTGCATACATTAATTGAGCACTCATGCATGAATTACATGGGTGCTCATGCACAAATTAATCAGGTGTTCATGCATGGATTATTTTGGCACTCGTGCAGGAATTAACGAGGTTGCAGCTTCTGCTGTTGGGGCTCACTGCCCCACTGGCCTGCAACGACGGAGCTCCACTCCCAGGCATCGCATCGTTACCAAGGGTGCAGAGCACCATCTAGTGAATGTTGGTGAGGAAACCATTGCTGCAAACCCCGAGAGGCTCCAGGTGAACCAGGCAGCTAAATCAACATTACCACTGTTTTTTTCTCTCTTTTTTTTTTTTTAAGATGCGTGACCTCTCTCTACTTGCAACTTGAGCCCGAGCAGCTGGAAAGCTGCAATCCCCTTGCAGAGCCTGGGTGAGGCCACAGCCCAGCGACCTGCCACCTGCAGTCACTCTAATTAAAACCTCTAGGATGAGTTCACATCTCTTTGCTTTTTTATGGACGTGTTTGAAGTCTCCCATTGCTTTGGGTAGTCTGCACTGTAATGAAATTTTCAGCAGCAATACTTGAGCTTCACAGCTACTCTTTATGGCCAAACATCTCAGAGGGGTGTTGAGCAGGTCTGTTAGGAAAGGGGAATGCTTGTTGGAAATGGCTGGGGGCAGGCCTGTAACTGTAAGTCACTGCCACCACCCTCAGCTGGCAGCAGACGGGCCCTCAGTGAGCCATGGGGACTCGATCCAGCTGGGTCATCCTCCAAGGTCGCTTCATCATGGCCCCAAAGTCCTGCTTCAGTGAGCCAGCCTGGTTGATAGCATGGCAAAGTTCCCGCTCAGGGGAAATTTCCTCTTCCTCCATGCCACCACTGTGTTCAAGTGAGAGACCAAAGGCTGCACACGCCTTTGCTGGGGACATCTCCAATCCTCCAGTCCAGCAGCACCTTTCCAAACGGTGGACCCACAGCTTCCCAGCCCTTTGGTTGGCCGGACGAGCCTCCAAGGAGCTGCAGATGCTCATTTTGGCAAATGGAGAAGGCTCTTTATGCCAACCCATGCCAGCAGGACCTCTGGGGAAGGGAGGACTGTGCCCTTGCCCTACAGGATGGGACAGTGGAGCTGCTCCTTTGGCTTTATGCAGCTGGTCGTGCCTGAGACTCGCGATAACTTCGGCCCCGTGACTGAAGGCCACGTCATGGCCTTTCGTTGGGTCTTCAAAACCCTCTAGAGGGAGCCCTGATCCCAGACATCGCCTGCAGAGGGCTTGAAAGCCCACAAAGGTGCTGCGTGGGTGTCGAGAAGGAGGGTTTGTGGGTTTTTTCTTTCTTTTTTTTTTTTCTTTCTTTGTCTCTCTTTCTTTCTTAGTATTTCTTTGTATTCCTCCCTTCTTCCCTCCCTTCCTCCCTTCCTTCCTTCCCTCCTTCTTTCCCTCCTTCCCTCCTCCATCTTCCCTTCCTTCCCCCCCTCTCCTTTACTCATTTACCAGCCCTGTGAAACCCTACTGTGACATCTGATTTCCATCCGCTTGGGCAATAAACTGACATTTTTCTCACGGTCTCTGTGCTCTTGTGCCTTGGGTCTCTGCCAAGTGCTCCACATCTTCAACTTTCTTCATTTTTTTCTTTCATAGACCGAGTCATCCTCTCCCCTGCTCTGTCCCCTTCTCACCCTTTAAAGGAAGTAAAGGAAAATATTTCCAGCTCCCAGCACTTCAATGTCCCTGCGTCATGGCACGCTGTGGGATGATGAAGTGCTTCCAGGGATGGGGACAGCCTGTTCCTGCACTGTGCCTCTGCCATCACCTCCTCCTGGCTCTCTGGAAGAGGAAGAGAAGAGTTAAATCTTCTTGGTGCTTGTTTCCTGAGTCTGAAATTTCCTTTGCATCCTTGCACCATGCTCGGAGAGGAAAAAAGTCATACCCAACATGGAGAGGTTTGAATGTAGAGGTCACAGCATGAGCATCTGCTGACATTTCCTCTGTCATTTGCCACGCTGGTGCATTGCTGTATCTGAGCACTTAACATACAATGCAATTATGAAGTACAAAGAGTTGCTACTTGGGTGTTAAATTCATTTAGCCACAGAAATGGAGCTTTGCTTGTAGCCCTGCTGTGTTCCTTAGCATCCCTTCAGCCCTTGCTCAGATGAGTCACCAGAGCACACAGCCCAGATGATGCAGAACCCATCTGAAATGACTAAGCACTTCAGCAACCGAGCCCTCTGATCCCTCAGCAGTAGGCTTTGGCCATGCCTTTGCACCAAAACACCCATTTGCCATCAGGGCATCCCCCCGTGCAAATTTGCTCGTGTGTTTGGTTTGCAAGTGCTCTTTCCTCTTGCAGGGGGAAGGAGAGCGCATCCCATCGACCTGCAGGGCAGGGCACTCATTGCTTTCCACAGTGAAGGCACCCAAACAACACAGCTCAAGCAGAGGTTTGTTTGGGGTTGAGTGAACTCTGTCCCTTTTGGGTTTCCGCCATAGGAAGCCAAGTCCCTCAGGTCAAAAGGGCTGCCTGCTTGACGCATGGGAAATAGGCAGCCCCAGCATCCCGCCTGGACTGGTTGCTGTACC